TAATCAAGACTAAATCAAGATGAATAAACTAGCGTATCAACATAGGAATAAAGATTTTCGTGAGTGAGCAACTAAGCGGTTGAGTTCTAGAGCAGGTACCCCGGTGAGCGGTGGGGGGGGGGGAGGCGCCGGCGCGGCGTGGATAGCCAATATTTTTAAGAGTCAGTTCCGGGTTTAGTATCCTGTTGAAGTCGATGCTGAGTCTCCAGACTGGTGCATTTACTCATGTGACCGAGCGCATCACCGCAAGGGAAGGCACTGTTTTGATAAATGGCATGACTGGAGGAAAATTACCTGGTTACGATTGCGTTAGCATCGAGCAATTTCAGCACGCTGGCCCGCACTTACCTAGACTGCTCTGCTGCGCTCTTGTTCAGCCTATGCATGAGGCACTCTTATTTGCTGGTTTCGATTTTTGAATAACAAAACCGGAGATGTTTCAGACATGTGCAACTATCAGCCCATTTCATTATCGACAACTGCGTTTAAGATACTTGACAGTGTGCTTCAGAGACATTTAAAGGTAAGTACATATTAAGTTAAACGATGCACAATTTGGTTTTAGACCAATCTATCCACTGAGTGTGCAATACTGTCGCTGAAGCACATTGTGTGGTATTATACTGTAAGGAATACGCGTCCTTCCTGGATCTTTCAAAAGTTTTCGACCGTGACAGGTATGACATTCTGTGGCATAAATTGCGAGGCTTGTCTACCTGTCTCGTACATTAGTATTTTTAGCTATTGGTACGGACATCAAATTAATCAGGTCAGGTGGTCTAGTGCACTGTCGGACGAGTACAGGTTAGAATGCGGTGTGAGAGAAGGGGGGTTAAGATCACCTATGCTTTTTAATCTATATATAAATGAACTGGTTCATAGACTCGGAAGTGCAATTGTATGTTGCTCAATGAACAACATCAGACGATATCGTGCTTCTGAGCCCGTCCGTCCGTGCCATAGACAATAGAAATGAATTAGCGCTCAATTTCTTCCAAAACCGATGTCGCCACATCTTACCGTATAATAAAAATACGCAATGCACAATGATATCTAATGTTTCACATTACATTGCTTGGCGAGTTTGTCAACGTCGCGTGTGTTGCGTATTACGATAGAACAAAATCAGCAATGGTAATTCAATACGAAAAGTAATAAATGAGTTTGCAAAGGTAAATGTCATAGTAAAGTATTAATCTGGATGTAAATTAATTAAAACAATGATAATTAGTAAATAATCAACTTACTGATGAAATGTTATGCATTAATAAGTTTAATTACATGTCCTTGATGAGTTTTTACAATTGATTATGCTGCAGTGCACCATTATAATTTCTAATAACAAAAATTCACGTACGACGTTTCCCGCACAACTAAATCACAAAGTGGTGAATTATGTTCGTCAACCCATATAAGCGGCGACAAGGTCACGCGTCTATGCGACTTCTATTGTCTTATTATTACGATTTCTGTGGTCCGTGCACTCAGACGGCTTTTGTTCATATGTGAGATTTATGCAGAAGCCCGCAGTTTAAAATATAATCTTGCGAAGAATGAGCTCATGGTGTTTAAGGTTGACACGAATAAACCTAATTTCGTACCACCTGTAACTTTAGGGGGTGAACGAGTAACTGAATTTAAGTACCTCGGCCATGTTTATACCGAAGATTTAAAAGATGATAAAGATATTAAAAGAGAAAGAAGGGCAATGGCCGTCTTCTGCAATATGTTAGCCCTCCGGTTCTCACGCTGTACAGCCGAGGAAAAACTTATTTTATTTCTCGTATTGCCAATCCCTCTATACGTGCGCTTATTGGTAAAACATAATTAAATATAATAATGTTTAGATTGTTGCTGGGGTTACTGTAGTGCATCAGGTATATTTTTTACCCAGTATAAATTTTTCCTTATGATGACAGGGTTCGTGGGAGCGCCAACAGCATTAGCGAGAAATCCCAGTGTTCTTTTTGAGGTACTGGGTGCATGTTCATGTCCATGTACCTATTGCCTCGGACAGGCACCCCAGTTATATGAACTAATGTTTAATTTATTACCTACTTTTACTAACATATATTTAAGAGTTTTTCTACGTATTTTTAACAAACAAATTGTTAGTTATTTTTATTATATAATTAAAGTAAGTTTTGTTAATATATAATTTTTACAATTGATTATGCTGCAGTGTTAAGTCGGGTCTGTTGTGAGTTACCGTGACATCGGTTTATATTATTTTATTATTATTAAATAATTCTTATATTTTGAATATTTTTATGAATACTTATTATGCACTTGATGTATAAATTTTAGTAATGATTTATAATTTTAGTATTAGACTAGAATTGAATGAATGTAATATTACCCTATGATCCTTGTTGGATGAAATAAATAAATAAAATAGAAATAAAGGGAATGTTTTCAGAATTAGTAATTATACATCACAATTTAGTATTATATCATCCATCCCAAAATTTATATTTGTATCAATAGAAATTTAGGGATTTTTGAAGTTAAATCAACCCTAGGTAAATATGGATTTGTAAAGAAAATAAAAAATCGCTAAGCGTGCAAAAACCTTTCAGCGTTTCAGAATAAATTCTATATAGGAATTACGCATATTTTCTATCAAAGAAACGTTTTAGCTAAACAAAATACAAGAAATTGAGGATACTCTATCGGTCGATTTCTATCACGCGACAAATTTAAAATATCTACGGAGGCTACTTTGAAAAATAAAGAGACTTAAATCCTCCTGTGTTTACACTAATACTTAACCTTATTTCTTTTGCTTGTTTTACTGTGACTTTACAGTGCCTGACACTGTAAAGCACTGGAAACGTCATGAATACCAAAATTTATTAAAATAAGTACATTTAACGCAATTAAATATTTAGTTTTAATCAAGATTTCATTTCACTTCAGTCAGTAAAATTCCATGAAATAAAAAAGTAAGTCATCTTTTAAAAAAACGTGCAGTCATGATAGTCTTGGGCTCAAACTAAGGTTTTTACTCTAAACTAAACTAAATATGTAAGTCCCTTGGCAACGGCGTCACAGTCGTCGCAAATGTGACAGCTCAGCAATGCATTCCATACTTTAGATTTTAATTCGTTTATTTTCGCAGGTTTTCTTTCGAGAAACAGATCCTAGTTCAAACTTGAGACTAATACTTATAAACAAATCTTGGTAATAAGTCGGAAAGTGTACTAGTTTATTAAGCATGGTCCAGCTCTTCTTTTTACAGACGCACATCGTATATTATTAATTCCCAGACGGATTTTACAGCGATATAATGAGGAGTTATGGTTTAAAACAACAACAATAGACGTGCGTCGTCTAGACGCGCCTGTACGTTCGTATGTACGTTCTCTTTATTCTATACCGTCGGAATTTTGGTAAGTGGATTACAATGAAATATATTTTTTTTTTATTTTTCTTGGTTTAGGTAATCGATACAGAATATCTGTATATCGCAACATTTTGTAAAAGTAAACGAGTTACTATGAAAGTGAAAATTTAATAATATAGGCTTTTTCGATCCCGGTCAGTACTAGTGAAATTGTTTTAAGTGCTGATTTCCCACTTGTGCTCGGCAAGAAGAAAAACATTTGTACGATATTCTACTGGGCTTGCCAACTTACAGCTACAATATCTCGGCAACCTGCAGTTGGCGCAGTGATAATTTGGTACTTCAGCAGATTGTATCGCACAAGGGTCCTTAGTTCTTTAGCACATAGTACTTTCAGGGTTAAATAGAACTTGGGAATTGATTTTGAATACAATAAAAGTGGAGAACACAATGGTATTTTAAAAATGTAATGTTTTGTCTTGTATTTATAAACGAATATAAAAAAACAAAAGACGAATATAGAGTTTGTTACAATTTTGTCCCATGTGCTCCATAAGCTCTTAAATTGAGTGGATTTGCTCAGTAGTGGGATACAAAGGGTTAGTTTTTAGAGAAGCCGAATTTTATACTGAAGTTCAAATATATAAATAATGATAGACCGTTATTGCAGTTTTTGAAAATACGAGTAAATAAGATTCTCACTTTTTTGTCCTCACGCTGCTCTTTTGAATCGAAATGTAAACGTTTCGTAAACATCAAACACATCTGATTCAATCATATTAAGACGTTTCCCCTAGCGAACAACCTTGAGCGTTCAGTCCTATACAATCCACGCGCTCTCGCTACAATGTATCGCGTAAAAATACGCCAGAATTTTTGGAATTATTTCAATTAAAAAGGAAAAGCGAACTTAACAAATTAAATAAAACGTGGATAAAATAGATTTTTAAATTATCTATCCATTAGTGTAATCCTCAAATGATTAGAGTGTTGCCTTTAGCAACAGATGCATGTAATCAGTAATTTTAGTCATTTTTTAAAAGTAGATTTTAAATGTATTTATAACACATAAAAACAAATTAGAACGTGGAATGTGATGAAAGGATATCGAACATTAATAATGTGCTTTTATATGTAGCTTATTTTTCATAACTAATGAGATAATAGTCTCTGAAAAACGCACTTTTGCAAAATTTTGGTCGGGGTACCGCCTTAATAAGCAAACTCGCCTGTATGCATCCCTCTCTATTTGTGCACTCCCGAGGCTTTATGAAAAGGATTTAATTTTGCCTTCCACCTCTTCAATGCGTCAGTCCGGCTGACGGAGTTGTCATCTAAACTCAATACGGTTGGCGGTCTTGCATGCTCCATCCTTACACATAATTAAGTACACAAATCAACTTTATTTTAACGTAAAATATAACAATAATAATAATAATTAGGCGTAGGGAAGTGACGACCCCATCGCCCGCTGACGTAACGGTTATGTGACAAAACCGCTACGTCAACGCAGTCAGTCAGCACCTTGCCAAGAGGTGTTAGTGCCGTGCCTCGGCAAAAATTGAAGGTGCAAAGGCCCGCTTGTGCACATGGCCTCACCATGAAACGGCGCCGGGTCTGGGCGTCTCCCGCTAAATGACGCCCACCACTATGGATGATGGAATACGGAAGAACGCGCAAAGGGCCGCTGCCTGGAGGTCGCCAGGGCGCGTCTGGAGCTGGCGCTGGACGCGGCAGCATGCGAACCGCCAGCCGAGCGCGAGGTGCTGCACGACCACCCAGCAGCCCCTCGCATCCATCATCCCCACCAGCTGGCTTGGTGTCGGCAGGGTCTTCGCGGGCCCAGCAATCGGCACCCGCCTCTGGTGGAGTACGCCGCATGCGTTGGACAACCCAGATGAACAGCAACGCATTGCGGGCGTATTTTAGGGCGAAAGGGGGAGAAACTGGATGTTTGGCGTATCGGGCTGGGATGCATCGTCTTTTTGCTGAGCTGGAGCTATCTTTAACCGTCACAGAGCAAAACCTGGCAGACCGAGTTCGGTATATCTTGCGATCAAATATATTTGATGTCGCCGAACTCGAACGGCTACGACGTGAGGCTGTTCCCTCGTCGGATGAGAATGCTACGGCTGAGGATGCGGCGCCACAAATGGTAGAGCAACTCGCAAACGTGGATGCCGCCGTGAATACCCCAGTTGTGGTTGATTCAAATGATGATGGAACAGTCGCCCAGGAACTGGAATTAGAGCATATGAGGAGTACATTGGAAGAGGCGATTGTGGAAACGCGCAGTACGCCTCTCGAATATCGACCGCGACTTCCCCGCATAGCCCTAAGCAAGCGGAATCGGGCTGTCGTGAGGGCTCTGAACCCAATGCTGGTGACCTATTTGGAAGCCAGCCGGGATCTCCTTTGCGAGATGGACTCAATTCTTTTTGGCGCCGCGCTGGCAGTCTGCCGTATCATAGGCGCCAAGGTTTCCACGGCTGGACGCGCTACTGGCCATAGTAGCGCTATCCCAGCATGTAGAAGAAGAATTGAGGAACGTATCGCAAAGGCTAGAGCTCTCATCGGCAGACTGATATGCTTCAGATCAGGCAACAACAGGCCAAGAATTGTGCGCACCGTCAGGATGGCGTTTGCTGGGACAAATGTCAGTTTGTCCAGAAGCAGAGCAGAGAATCGCTGCTTGGGGAAAGCGGATTCGGCGATATACCGAGAGGTCGACACGGTTCAACCAGAATCGTCTCTTCCAGAGTGATCAGAAGAGGCTCTATGAATCATTGGAGCGACCAATGGTAAGTGGAACGGGTCGAGCACCGAATCAGGCCGACACTGTAGCATTCTGGCGCGGCCTGTGGTCAGAGCCCGTAAACCACAGCGAGGGCCCTTGGACGGAAGTTGTGGCGAGTCAGTGTGCGGGTATTACGCCCATGGACCCCGTCAAAATTAACGCCGGATGACGTAGCTGAGGTGGTCCGTAGGGCCCCGAACTGGAAAAGTCCGGGGCTTGACGGGCTGCATCACTACTGGCTGAAGGGGTTCATGGTGTGTCACTCTGTGCTTGCCCGACAGTTTCAAGAGGCTCTCAACCAGAAGTCGCTCCCAAGCCTCTTCACTACTGGGATCACTCATTTGGTTCCTAAAGACCAGGGTACCACAGACCCGAGCAAATACCGCCCCATCACGTGTCTACCGACCATATACAAGACACTAACATCCATTTTGAGCGCGAGAATCACTTGTCACCTGGACTCAAATCAGGTGACGTCGCGCGCTCAAAATGGATGTCGGGGCGGTGGTCGTGGAACCAAGGAACCACTCCTCATTGACGCGGTCATTGGCAAAGTGGTGAAACGCAACCGTCGGAACTTCTCCGCCGCCTGGATAGACTACAGAAAGGCATTCGACTCGGTGCCCCATACATGGCTAAAGAGAGTCCTCGAGCTGTACAAGATAGACTGTACAGTTAGAGACTTCCTCGAGCAGTGTATGGGGCAGTGGAGTACGATCCTTTGTCATCTGGGCGAGCGGATGATGGCTGCGGAGAACCACATAAGGATAAGAAGGGGTATCTTCCAGGGCGATTGTCTGAGTCCAATCTGGTTCTGCCTCTCCCTGAACCCTCTCAGTACCTTACTGGAGAGCTCCGGGAGGGGATTTCAGCTACGGAGAGGAGGGACAAAAGTGACCCACCTTTTCTATATGGATGACCTCAAGTTATTCGCCTCCAGTCGCTCCCATCTTATGGAATTGCTAAACATCACTTGTGAATTTAGCAATTCCATTGGAATGGAGCTTGGGACGGATAAGTGTGCGGTCCTCCATGTTGAAAGGGGAAGGGTTGCTAACTCTGAGGGCGTAGACTTATCTATGCCCGTCAACTTAAGGACCCTTTCCGAGGCTGAAACATACCGATACCTGGGTATGTCACAAAACATCGGTATCGATGAAACAGTCAGTTTGCGACGTGTTTTATGCACGCTTGACCAAAGTGCTTAACAGCCTTTTGTCCAGTGTGAATAAGGCACACGCATATAATGGCTGGGTCATGCCTGTCCTCATGTATACCTTTGGCATACTCAGGTGGACTCAGACTGAACTTAACGCCCTGGATAGAAATGTCCGCACTACCATGACGTCCCATAGGATGCATCATCCGAGATCGTCGGTAATGAGGTTGTACTTGTCGCGGAAGCATGGTGGTCGTGGCTTCTTGAGCGCGCTCACCATGCATAATCGCGAAGTGTGCAGAATCCGTGATTACTTCCTGGCGAGATCGGATGATCCATTCTATAAGGACGTCATTTTTTGTGATAAAAGACTTACCCCTCTATCCTTAGCCAACGAGCAATGGCAAGACCCGGCAGTGCAGAGCATTTCCGACCGAGAGACCGTATGGAAGGAGAAGGAGCTCCACTGGAGGTTCTACAAGGCTCTACATGAGCCTTTCGTAGACACAGTAGCCTCCCTCCACTGGCTACGCTTTGGTGATCTCTTCGGGGAAACCGAGGGTTTTGTCTGTGCAATACAGTATCAGGTTATTAAGACCAACAACTATCGGAGATACATCCTAAAGGATGGCACCGTCGACATCTGTCGAGCTTGTCGCCATCCCGGTGAGTCACTTAGGCATGTTATCTCCGGTTGTTCGGCGCTTTCTAACTCTGAGTACTTGCACAGGCACAACCTAGTAGCCAGAATTCTACACCAGGAGCTCGCTCTGAAATACGGTCTCGTGGACCGGAAATTGCCGTACTACAAGTACTTGCCGGAAGCCGTGCTCGAAAATGATCGCGCCAGGCTCTATTGGGACCGGGCCATCATCACAGACAGGACTATTCTTGCGAATAAGCCTGATATTGTGCTGATGGACCGGGCACAGTCAAGGATATTTTTGGTCGACATTACCATTCCGTATGACGAGAACCTCGTGAAAGCCGAAACAGACAAGCAAACAAAATATCTGGACCTGGCTCACGAGGTGACCGACATGTGGGGTGGTCTGCCGACCGAAATTATTCTTGTAGTCGTCTCTGCAAACGGGCTAATCCCAGTCAGCCTCTCGGGTCATCTGAGGCGGCTGGGACTACGTGGCGGACCGCTCCAGGTTCAAATGCAGAAGGCGGTGCTCCTCGATACCGCCTGCATCGTCCGCCGGTTTCTTTCCCTTTCCCCCTAACCCTCGGCCGTTTGGTCTCCCCTGCCGAGGGCCTCCATCTGGTTGGGCTTTTATTTATTTATGTACTTTTATATTTATTTTATGTTATTGATATTTATGTATATTTATTTTTTCATTTTCATTTATAATTATATATTTATAGAACCCAACCAGATGAGAAAACTATATAAATACCCCATAATAATAATATTTATTTGCAAGAATGTGGTTGTACGATGGTGTTCGAGTATAATTTATTCTACATATTCTTCTTCAGTGGTGTGCAAATATTAATAGACAGGTACTCGTAACTTATACAACAATACTATTCGAATTTTTAACAACATAATTTTTTATACATTACTCAGTTGATTTGATGATTAATTAATTATGCAACAGCCTCAGAAAAATAAATTGCCAATAAGATGTATGAGTATTATTATGGCTCAATGTCAAGTAGCAAAAGACAAAACTATTAAAGTTATATATATATATTAATTAACTGTAGTTATAATTATATAATTACCTAGAATTAAAATATCACCATTAGTACCACCATTGCGCATAACAGTTTTGGGCTCAAGTTCATTTATCCCTAGAGCAAGCAGAGTTCTAAACTGTTATGGTAAAAACATAGATATCCACGCTACAAGTCTGAATACGTTTCGCAAACACTTGCAAAAAACCATAGTCGAGTTATAATTAAGTAATTTTTATGTTCATTTATATACTGTGCTGTTATTGTTTCCTTTTTTCTCTTTCTTTTTCTCATTTATTGTGAACACATTAAGTCACTTATAAATTATTGGATGTTACTACCCTTAATATTTTGTGCATGTGGTGTTTACCTTAATTAATTGTGCATTTGGCTGTACATGTTATTGTTAAATACTCATTGATTTATTATTGCTACAATTACTGGTAAACTTAATAAATAAAATAAAAAATAAAAATAAAATAATTAACTGTTGCCACCATGTAGCGACATTGAAACAACGGAGTTCAGATGAAAACTCTCTTTATTATTGAAGAAGGTTTCCCAGTACATAATATTTTAAGTCTACCAACAACAGTGATAGGTACTTTTCTGGTTTGAGCCGGCCCATTCATGCGACAGCAAAAGCTGCCGCGTGGCTCTAGCACAAGCGTGAAGTGGTACCACTGAAAACTATATCACTATCTACAATATACACACACACACACACACATTTTTTTTTTTTTTTTATATATATATATATATATATATATATATATATATATATATATGCAATTGCAAGCAAAACAATTAAAAGCACATTAGTGTGCGGGTATTAACATTACATTTGATTTTGATTTTATTAAACTAATATAGCTAAATACTACTAAGTAATACTGATACATTTTCTCTTCGTAATTTTTTTTATAGAAGAGGGGAAACAAACTAGCATGTGGTTCACCCGATGGTAAGTGGCTATCGCCGCCCATGAACAACTGCAGCACCAGGGGAATTGCAGATGCGTTGCCGGCCTTTTAAAAAAGAGTGGGCTCTTTTCTTCAAGGTCCCTAAGTCGTATTTCTGGTGGTAGCCGATTCCACAAGGAAGTTGTGCGAGGAAGTAAACTTCTTCTAAATCATCCAGTGGTGGACCGCCAATCATCCAGATGGTATTGATGGTATCGCGAGTTTAGTGGCGATGAGCGATGGTGAAATTGAGTGGCTGGAATTAGTCAGAATAATTCCTCAGATCACTCTTCGTGGTAGATGCGATAAAATATGCAAATAATAATATATTAATAGTTGCCCTTTAAGTTTGAAAATCATTGAATTACCTAATAAAAAAATTATGGTTCAAACTAATAAAGAAGTATATTATCATGGCTATCCTTTATTCGGTAAATCTTTTTGATTAATTCTAATGAAAACAGAGGATGCCCTAGGAAAGAAATACGATTTTATAATTTATGGGCATAATTTGTCCAAAGTATCCTGTGAATATTCCCAAATATACTTTTGATATACTTCTTGATAAAATATTACATTTTGTATAAGCTCTTCAACGGCGACGAATAAATACTTCCTTGTTAAATACAAATTGATAATTATTTAGTAATTTATTTTTAAAAGAACCTTATCGTCATATGATTTAGAATTATTTAAAAAAAAATTACTTTGGTTTTGATACGACGTAAATATTAAAATAATAACTTAAAATTGTATCTATTAAAACGCAATTACTTTTTTCTTTTTGTGAGTAGCTTCTATAGGGTGTTTTGGGACACAGGGTCAAAGGCCTTGTAAAGGAATGCTTGGAATTTTCAGTAACCATTGTCAAAGCGAACATCTGTCTAATGGACGATACACACGGTCAGTTAAGCTGATCATTCCAACTGATCAGTTTTAAAACTAAAACTGTTGTTTTTTTAAAATATCGGATTTTCGATATATCGATAAATACTTATATAAATCTCCGATATTGATATATTTATAATTATCGATATATCGAAAATCCTCTATTTTAAAAAATATCAACAGGTTTAGTTTGAACTGATCAGATGGAATGATCAGTTTAACTGACCCTTTGTGGCGACCTTAACAGTACCTAGGTAGAGACGAGCGATTCG